GCCCTTGGTTGCTCTGAACTGGGGTGCCACTGAGCTTGGTCCTATAGAATTTACCATTTCTATAAAACCACTGGGAGAGGTTATCTCTTGGTTTGGTATGAGGGATCATCAGTATCTTGATGATAGTCAACTGTATATTACCATTCTGGACTGAACTGCGTAAGTCTTGAATTGGCGTCTGGAAATGGTAAGGGTCTGGATGAGAAAAAACAAGCTCAGATTAAATCTTCCCAAATGAAGTTAATGCTTGTTAGTAAGCATCTAGGAATATTGGCCCCAGAGGTCATTCTAGAGAGAACTGTACTCCCTCTAAAGGTACTAATCTATGACCTCCTGGACTCACAACTCCTGCTGGTACAGCAGGTGGAAACCACTCCAGGGAGGCTTTGGTCTGGTCTAGTTGGTATTCCAGTTACAACCCTATCTTAACGTAATGGTATGTGGGAATGACTTTGGGGAGACAGGGGGAAGAGCCACAGCCAGGGAAATGGTCAGACAAGCAGCAGCTGAGCCCACGGAAGGAAGAGGGGTCTGGCAAACATCTCAGATGGGGCCCTCCCTAGTTTCTTGGGCTGCAAAGGCAACAGGGGAGTAATGTACTTTCAGACTTGCAAGTTTCTGTTAATATAACCTTACAATAAAATAAAGCTAATACTTTTGGGTGTGCTTCTTGTCTGGACTACCTCGCAAGGCTGGCACTGGAACAAGATGCTCTGGCAACAGTAACTCATGCCCTATCACAACATGACTACACTACTGCAATGCATTCTACATGGGGCTACTTTGAAGGCAGCTTGGAAACTACAGGTGATCCAGAACTAGGTGGCCAGATTATTAACAGGAGAAACCAATGATTGCAGGATTATACCTATTCTTTGGTTGTTGTAGAGGTTACCAGTAGGCTTCCAGACTCAACTGAATTGCTGAGCAATATCTATAAAGGCTTATACCATGTGGGCTGAGATATATCGGAGACTGCCTTCCCAAACACAATTCTGGTGATTGAAAGAGGGCCTGTGAAGATTCCCACCCTCCAAACAGATTCATGGAGCTGGGACAAGGTCTTTTCAGTAACAACTTCCCCAGTCCAGAATGGTCTGCCTCAGAAGTATTGCTGGCCCCAACTCCCTTTCATGTAGAAAGACCCTGAAGATTCCTTTGCTTCAAAGCCCACCGCAAGATTATTGTGGAGGGGGCACTGTTTATTATGCTAATATTTATTTTATATCATGGGGTATTCCTGTTTTCCTGCAACACACAGAGTCCTGGGGATTGGCATGGCATACAAAAACTGTAGAATAGGGATGGCATAAATAAAACTGCCTCAAGTATTAATAATTTAATTGTACAGTATTACTTGAATATATATGTAGGGGTATTTTTTAGTACATAAAAAAATTATATTTTTGTGGGATTTTCCCATCTTTGTCCCTCCCTTTCTGTCTTATTTCTTTTTGT